GGGCTGAAAAGCCCTGGCTTCTCTAGAAAAACTTTGCCGCAAGTTGGAGGGAAGCGCTGGATGGACGGGACTATTTAACATGAGCTCCCTATCACCAAGGCGGATCCCTAGACCTTTTGGGGGACCCTGACAACCCTCAAAGTCGCCCTTTGTCCCTGGCTGTCTTCCCGTGCGTCCCGACATCCCAACTGGTCTTGGCGGCTCCGCACACAGCCAATACCTGTCGTGGTCCCCATTGCCTGCGAGTCCCAGATGGCGGCCATTACCCGTCCATCCGGGTATTGCCGGAAAGCCGAGCGCGCCGCTGCCGGCAGCGCACGCTGCGGCGGAGGGATCCGCACTGCACCTGAGGCGAGCGGAAGAGAACGGCGCCCGGAAGGGCCCGCGCCTCAGCCTCAGCCTCACGAGAGTAGGCCATGGCGCCGACTGCTCGGCTGCCCTCTGGGTGAGGCGGCTCCCTGGCCCTCCCTCTCCACCCCCCCCGCGCCCCCCAGCCGCGGGGACCCTACTGCGGGTGGAAGAGCGGGAAGAGGCCACCCCACTCCTTCCAAGCAGAGCTCTTGGCCAGCCTTGGCTGACAGGAAATGGCCTCCACTAAGGGCTTCAGCCAGCCCCATCTTGGCAAATGGAGTCCCCCCATTACTTACCCGGATCATGCGAGTTTTGGTTCCCCTAGGAGTCTCGGTCGCTGCAAGGAGCCAACATTGAGCTCGAAAGCGGGCTCACGGGCTACCCTGAGGGATGGTCTCCTCCCCACGACGCGCCAGACGACCTCGTCCCGAGGCAGGGAGGTGTCGTCTGAGCGAAGCAGCCCCGGGCCCACGCACACACCGCAGTCTCAAAAAACGGAATCCTTGCCCCCAACAAAAGAATCCGCCCCCCACGGCACTCAAGAGCACGCAGAGCTCAAGCGTGGCCCCTCTCTTCCCGCCCACGCATCACACTTGGTAAACAAGTACCTTCCTTTAGTACGTGGTCCGAAGCACGAGGCAGTTGTGGCAGTTGGCTGCTATCAAAAAACAAACACTAGGCGAGCCGGGCGTTGGTGGTGCACACCTTTAATCCCAGCCCTCGGGAGGCAGAGGCAGGAGGATCTCTGTGAGTTCCAGACCATCCTGGTCTACAAGAGCTACTTCCAGGACAGCCTCCAAAGCCACAGAGAAACCCTGTCACGAAAACAACAAAACAAAAACCAAAAACCAACTAGGCGGAGGGATATAGTAGAATATTAAAAAGCGAAACGACAAGAATTTTGGCTTCAACGGTGTACCGTAGATTTTGTTGTTGTTTTCTAGGTATGCCTGGCAATTAGGAACTTCACTTAAAAACTTCTGTTTTTCATTCTCATAGACTATGCTTTTGAACACGTTGACCTGCCCCCACGAAGGTTTTCCTCTACCCTTTACTTAAGAACCCATCAGTTTGGGGTGGTACTTAAGTTGGTGTACAACAGTCCTCCTAGAAAAGGCAAGCTGATAATCACATGAGTATTACAAATATAAAACCAAAGGAGAAGTCTATTAATATCAAAAAGGGCATTTTATAGTGAGGGATATTTTCTCTTTAACAACACAACATTCGTATTGCTTCAGACACACATCACTGAAGAGAGAAGGGGAAAATAGCTTGTTTGTCCTGGAACAACTCTCTCTCTCTCTCTCTCTCTCTCTTTCTCTCTGTCTCTGTCTCTCTCCTCTCTCTTCTCCTCTCTCCCTCTCTGTCTCTCTCTCTCTCTCTCTCTCTCTCTCTCTCTCTCTCTCTCTCTCTCTCTCTCTCTCTCTCTCCTGGCCCCCATGTTGGCTTCCAACTCACAGAGATCTCAAGTACTGGGATTAAAGGCGTAAGCCATCACCACTAGCTAAAATGACTTAAAAAGAAAAAGTGCTGAACACTCTCTGTGGACCAGGTTACCCTTGGACTCACAAAGATCTGTCTGCCTTTGCCTCACAAGTTATAAGTTCTAGGATTAAAGGCTGGTATCGCCATTGCCCAACTTTTTTTTTTGTTTTGTTTTGTTTTTTTGTTTGTTTTT